GGTGAGGGGGGGGGGGGGGGAAGGAAGACAGAGGAGACGATCGTATCTGCTACGTACGACGAATTATATTCGCTTCCGCAAAATATCCATCGTTGCTCCGACACGCGCCCTATGGATGGCTCAGATCCATCGGCATAGAAGAAGGGACACGTGTACCAACAGGGAGGGGAGTATCGAATCGTCCGATGCACTCGCCGAACAGTAGGAGAGTTCTGACCGTTTGGTGAAAGGCTGACAAGGAAGTTGACTCAACTGTACGGAATGTCCATGGCATTTTTAATAGCAATAATTATAATTTCAAATAATGAACCTTTTACACACACAGACACAGAGAGAGGTGGGACCGTGAGCTTGTAATAAGCATCGTGCTCAAAAGTTGAAAGTCCAAAAAGGGGTCAAATTCAGAAGCTAATTCCTCCGCATCCCATCGCTTTCCTTTCTTTTGTTTCTTGCAATAAATCAGGCATTGATTAATTGCGAGGGAAGGGGAGCCCACCTCATGCATCATACGTATTCGACGAGGTTTGCGTACATTGGAGGCCTTGGCCCATAAATTATTCAAACCCGCCCATTATTAATTGGATTTGGGTTCATTTGATTGACAATGGGCCCAGCATTAAACGATCAATATTTTAATGGGCTGGGTTTCAACAAACCCATTAAAAGTAACATCTCTACATCTCTCTCCACTAATTATGGGCCTTGTTCGTCCCGTTACGATCGGTGGCGTTTTTCAGTTCTCACCTCGCCGGAGAGTTTCGACTGACTGCTCCACCATTTTTCCCGGTAGCTCCATCTGCATCTTTCTTCCAGTTTGACTTTCTTTTTCTTTTATTCGTGTTTTCTTTTTTCTTGCATTTCTCTCGCCCACTAAGCCGCTCTAATTTTTCTGGTTATTTCTGAAACCATACTTTCTTTAGCTCATTCGGACAAGCCTTCAGGTCTGTATGCCCTAAGATCAGCCATGAATGATGGAATTCGTCTTCCAAAATCAAAGTGGTACGGCCAATGCGCCTCTCTCGAACTCTAACACGTTGTAACGTTCAATAGCTTATTCTTGTTTCTGCTTTAGCGAGGCAGGTCTAGTATGGCCCGTAATATGTTCGACAAAATGCTTCATACGCACGAGGTCACTCCGGATTCGTAGTGTAAATGCGATCCCCATGCTGTGACATATAACACATTCGTGGATGACTTGTGTAGACACAGAATTGCGTGCATAATGTGGTGAAGTGTATGATTAAGAAGGGAACACATTTGTGTGAAGCATGCGATGGATGAGGCTCTGGCACTCAATGATGTTACTTTCAACACTGGTAATGGGGCTCTGTGACGCACTGAGATATGGTCGAATCTTGCTTTGCTCCACATGCGTGCATTTTCACTATTTTGCTTGCTGCCTATTGTTGTGATGCAGGAATTCTGGATGCATCAATGAAGGGTTTCGCAGAAATTGTTAATCTGAATTCATATAGTGTCTTGCTTTGTTGTTTGTGCCAGAGGAAGGATTTTGAAATGGCAGAGGCATTGTTAAACGGGTTACTGGAGAAGGAGATAATTGTCAAGGATGGATGCATGCCTCTTGTTGCAGCCTATATAACCCAATGTTCAAATATTTATGAACCAATGGGAAAAAAGAGAGAGCGGAGAAAGTGTTCAGGCAGCTAAGGAAAAGAGGGACACAATACTCAGCTTCTTACAAGACTTGGATCACGGGTCACTGCAGATAAGGTAAATTCCAGGCTGCTAAATGAGCTGCTATTGGTCCTAATGTTTTGGTGGGATTTTGAACCGGATTTGGAATCTACGAGTTGTTGATTAGTGGGTTCTAGAAGAAGGGTGAAACTGTTCCTGCCTACAGAAAATGCTTTAGAACTCACATCTTACAGGAGGAATTATGTTCAATTCTATACTTGCAGAACTTTTGAAAGCAGAAATTTCTGGATGATTCTTTTGGCTTTTTATGGCTAATGTTGAAGAAAGGAATAAGGCAGAACATTGAACTGTCAACACATGCTGTGAGCCTGCTTGTCACAAAAAAAGGATAAAGCTTTTCTGGTTTGCTTTGTGATAACGAATATTTAGTTAATATGGAGATATTAATTGTTTTCCTCTGTGAGAGTAGAAATATAGTTGAGGCACACAAGGATTGATATTAGCACATGCAACTCAGTCATCAAAAGACTGTAAACATAAGAGACTCGGAAGCATTCCATTTGTACTATGAGTTGGTGGAACATGGGAACCGCCAACAGCATAGAGGCTGCTGGAAAACAAGTTGGACTTCAGTTTGTGTTGAAGATGATGGCTACATTTCGAGAAATCAGGTTATTGCCTTGAATGCAGAACAATCTATACTGTCAGTCAGTCTTTTACCCTAATATTCAGAGCTCAAATTTTAGACTGTTTCTGTGGTTAGCAGCGTGTTCCGGTCATATCTGTGGGAATAGAACAATGCGTGAAATAATGGATATAGACTTCCAGTGAAAGACAAGACTCAAGACCCAATTCTATAAGTCATAGTTTGCTACCAGCAGAAGTTTTACTGGCAAAAGCGGAGTGTGTGCTGGATTTTCCAGTTAGACGGCATCTCAAGCTTACGGTAAAGTTCCAAATTTTCATTTTGTAATCTTATCTCCAAGAATTATCCTTCCAGAACGGTAAGAGTAATGAGAAGAGAAATTCTTTACTCAGCAACTGACAGGTTTCTTTTGCATCATGTCTCTGTTACAGGTCTCTCAAAGGTGTCCAACTGCCTGGTTGCCTAACTTTCACCTTAATTATACCTCCCAGGCAGAAAGACTCTTGATCCCAGACTATGCAAATATTTACAACCCAGAGGGCAAAAAATGTTTGTTGCCTTTTCATGGTCTTAAAGCATTCCTAACCAACATTTCCCAAATAATCACCAAACCCTAATAAGATAAGAGGTCTCTCTTTCCATGCTCTTTAATCTTCAGAACCAAACTCTCCCCAAGAAACATCTCTGTCTTTCCCTTTAAATTCATTTCCTTTTGGTCAGTGTTTTTGCATCCACAGCCCTGTTCTCAGAAATCAATTGTTTGAACCTGAAAAGATGTCGAAATCTGGAATGGTTGGTGTTGAGAGGCAGAGCGGGAGGCGTGTTGCGAACCCCGGGAAGGCAACCGTGATGGCTCTCGGGAAGGCCTTCCCGAGCCAAGTCGTTCCCCAGGAGAATCTTGTGGAGGGATATCTCCGCGATACCAAATGTGATGACAGCTTTATCAAAGAGAAGCTGCAACACTTGTGTAAGTTCACCGTTTCCCTTTTAATTTTCACCCTTTTCCCCTTGTCTCAGTTTAGTACTGAAAACTCTCTCATAACCTTGTCGTCTCTTAGGCAAAACGACAACCGTTAAAACAAGGTACACTGTCATGTCGAGGGAGGTACTGGACAAATACCCTGAACTAACAACAGAAGGTTCACCAACAATCAGGCAAAGGCTTGACATTGCAAACGAGGCGGTTGTCAAAATGGCGTTTGAAGCGAGCTTGGCTTGCATAAATGAATGGGGAAGGCCAGTGGAGGACATTACTCATGTTGTCTATGTTTCCTCAAGCGAGATATGCTTACCTGGGGGCGATCTTCACCTTTCAGCTCAGCTAGGGCTGAGAAATGACGTGAACAGAGTTATGCTCTACTTTCTTGGCTGTTATGGCGGGGTGACTGGTCTCCGTGTTGCCAAAGACATTGCCGAGAACAATCCAGGAAGCAGGGTTCTGCTCACAACCTCTGAAACCACCATTCTTGGGTTTCGTCCCCCAAACAAAGCTCGTCCTTATGACTTGGTCGGGGCAGCGCTGTTTGGAGACGGTGCAGCTGCTGTAATAATTGGAGCAGATCCGACAGAATCGGAAACTCCGTTCATGGAGCTGCACTACGCGGTACAGCAGTTCTTGCCGGGGACACAGAACGTGATAGATGGGCGGTTGACAGAAGAGGGCATTAACTTTAAGCTAGGAAGGGATCTGCCACAGAAGATAGAAGACAACATAGAAGAGTTCTGCAGGAAACTGAAGGGAAAGGCTGGAGGTGAGGCGTTGGAGTTAAATGACATGTTCTGGGCAGTCCATCCCGGTGGACCGGCCATCTTGAACCGTCTGGAGACGAAAATGAAGCTGAAACCTGGAAAACTTGAATGCAGCCGAAGGGCTTTGATGGATTACGGGAACGTCAGCAGCAACACCATCTTTTACGTGATGGAGTACGTCAGAGACGATCTCAGGAAGAAAGCCATCCAAGGCGAAGCCGAAGATGAAGAGTGGGGACTGGCTTTAGCTTTTGGGCCTGGGATCACCTTCGAAGGCGTTCTGATGCGGAGCCTCTGAGTGAACCTAAAGCTCTCGAATGCCATAGACCTTGTTTTCAACGCATCTTATCAGTTTTAATTAATGTTTTCTACCTTTTTTTTAAAAAAAAATTGAACACATTGAAATGTGGAGGTCCAACCGTTCACTTAACTCCTTCTGCATGGTCGTCGGTGTATTTACCAGTTAATATATATACCCCTTTATGGTTCGTAAAAGAAAATCTCCCTATATACACACGCGTGAGTGTGAGTGTATGTATCTACAGCTGTAGCTTGGTGTCAGAGAGTCAGGGCATAAGAACAAGTCAAACAACGATCACGTGCCATTAATACGCTAATTAGTCAATCAAAAGCTCCGATTATTAATTAATAATGGTTAGTCGTGGTTGGAAGGGCGAAGACAAACAGTTGGGTAGAGAGATGGAGTTCTGACTTGTCTGAAAAGGAAGACGAAGACCTTGCGTACTGTCTTGTTTCGGTGTAGAGCGTGTAAAAGGAGGTGGTCATTAGGCGGACACAGAGCTAAAGCTGAAGCTATCCACAAGAATGTTATGAAGAAGAAGAAGAATCAAATCAAAGCCATGGTTATGACTGTGGATGTGATACACATTTACATGTACACATGTGGTTGCTTTTGGATACTCGATTATTATAATCAATCATACATAAATACATAATTAATATATCATTTAGGTAGGGTAAAGTTCTTGCTCGATGAGACGAACGACGTCGTACCACCGGTTTTGTGAACCGGAATATCTCGGACCCCTTGGTAGCCAAACCGGTCCGGAACTGCCAATCCCGCCGGCCAATCGAAACCGGGCGCCCAGACCATCTTCCGGAAAAAAAATCATTATTTTTTGGGGGAAATCTCAGTCTCCATCTGCGGCACTACTCGAATTCGAAAGAAGCTTCCCACAGAATGTTATAGAAGAATCACATCCTCGTTTCCCAGATTTCTGGAACAATTATGAAACCGATCTCATCCCGATTCACCTCCTTCCTCCCTTCCTCAAGCCCGCTTCTGCCAATCCCAACCAGAAGATACGTAATCCCGATTATGGCCTTCTCTTCGTCTTCATCTCCACCTGGAACATCGCCTTCTCGGGAAAACCCTAACGTAAACGACTGGGAAGACGAAGACCAAGATAAGCTGAGATTGGTTCTCAGATACCATAACCAGACTAAACACTCCTTCACTAACTACGCCAGAGGTCCACGCGGTCTCGACTGGGCTAATCAACCCAACCCTTTTCGTCGGTATGTCTCTGCTCCTCTTCTTCCTCTTCAGCACTTTCCCCAAGACAACCACGACATCGATGATTCTCCTCTCTATTCGTCTCTTTTTGTTTCGCTCCCTCCGCCGAAACCCATCTCTCTCCCCTCAATTTCTCAGCTTTTCTACGATTCTCTCGCTCTCTCCGCCTGGAAAACCACCGGATTCTCTACCTGGTCCCTCCGGGTCAACCCGAGCAGCGGAAATTTGCACCCGACCGAGGCTTATCTCATCGCCCCACCTATCGATGCGATTGCCGAATCGGCTTTCGTTGCGCATTATGCTCCAAAAGAGCACTCTTTGGAAATTCGAGCCAACATCCCATCCGGGTTTTTCCCAAAATTCTTCCCCAAGAACTCCTTTCTCATTGGGATTTCGTCAATTTTTTGGCGGGAAGCTTGGAAGTACGGAGAACGAGCGTTCAGGTACTGTAACCACGACGCGGGTCACGCCATTGGCGCTATCACCATCGCCGCCGCTGAGCTCGGATGGGACGTCAAGCTTCTAGACGGGCTCGGGTTTGAGGATCTGCAGAGACTAATGGGACTCCACATCTTCCCTGAGTTTCAGATACCATCAAGACCCGGCAAAGGTAAATTTCCAGGGATCGAATTCGAGCATCCTGACTGCCTACTGCTTGTGTTTCCCAACGGAACTAGAGATTTCACAGTAAACTACGACGAACTGAGCTCTGTGATCGCACAATTTCCGAGTTTGGAATGGAAAGGAAAACCCAATGCTCTCAGTAAGGAGCATGTTTGTTGGGATATAATATACAGGACTGCTGAAGCAGTGAAAAAGCCGATATCGTCAGTCTCCAAATTGTTCTCTGTTGATCTCTTCAGAAGCAGCGGTGTCTTAAACCAAGGCTCGTACAAGGGGCTGACAACGAGACAGGTCGTGAGGAAGAGGAGGAGCGCAGATGACATGGACAGAGTTACGTTCATAGACCGATCAATGTTTTACCAGATTCTGCTCCACTGTCTTCCTTCTGGTTCTGATAGTGGCAGGAAGCAGACAAAACAAATGGCACTGCCGTTTCGGGTTCTTCCATGGGATGCTGAGGTCCATCTTGCTCTGTTTGTGCATAGAGTTTTGGGCTTGCCAAAGGGTTTGTACTTCCTGGCCAGAAATGAGGATCATGTCAGTGATCTCAAGAAAGCTATGAGGTCCGAGTTCGAGTGGATCAAACCAGATGGGTGCCCTGATGATCTTCCATTGTATGAGCTCGCTCGAGTAGATTGCCAAAATCTGGCGAAAGATCTATCGTGTCATCAGGTATGTAGATTTGGTGTTTCCTTCAACTGTCTTAAAAAGTTTTGCTTTGAGAATGGATGCCGTCTAGAATTTCTAGTTTGGCTGGACCTCTACAATGACGTCGTTTCCTTCACAGATCATCTGTAAACTTGTCGAATATTTTCACGGCGAGTCTTCTGAGATAGACAGTTAGATACCCATTCTAATCAGAACTCAATATGATGTTTTCCTAAGTCATATACTAGTGAGATTTAAATCAATGCCGCAAGAGTTGTGGTGAACTCAAAATGAGAAGTTCTCTTATGATTGACTGCAGGACATTGCGAGCGATGGCTGCTTTAGCCTGGGCATGGTAGCTCGGTTTGAGCCAGCCCTGCGGGAGAAGTTTCCATGGATGTACCCTCGCCTGTTCTGGGAGACTGGTGTTCTTGGCCAGGTTTTGTACTTGGAAGCGCATGCAATTGGCATATCTGCGACTGGGATAGGCTGCTACTTCGATGACCCTGGTATGCAACTGTAATGTCCGGATCATTGGCTAAAGCATTCTACTTTTCTTTGAACCCCTTTTTTTGGGCAGTGCACGAATTGCTTGGGATTAAAGACGGGACCTTTCAGAGTCTGTACCATTTCACGGTGGGAGGTCCTGTTCTGGACAAGCGGATCATGAGTCTTCCCGCATATCCTGGTCCAAGCCTCGATGCTTAAACACAAATGCTCCCGTTTGCCGTGTCGTGTCTGTTCATGCACGCGTGTAAATATCTCTGTCTGTGGTTACAAACTTCTCGGTCACGGGTTTATCCCTTTGAGGGTTTTTCTGTGGTGGTGATGGACGTTTCAATGGGCTCACAACCACGGGCTTCCTTTTAAAAGTTACCCAATTATTATAACTATTGGGCTTTCACAAGGCCCGTAATTTATATTATATTAACCGAAATATATAAGCATGACATCTCCGCTGGGCGCTGGCTAACTAGGGTTTCTTTCTCTCTTCACCACTCGTCACAACCGTGGTAAGACTAAGAGGCATCCCGGCGAAGCTTCAGAATCCGCCACCATGGGCCGTATGCACAGTCGAGGGTCTGTTAATTTTCTCTGTTTCCTTCTCTGATCTCGTCTTCCAGTCTTCGTGTCTTTTTTTTTCTCGTTTTTGTGGTAATCTCTTCCTCTTTTTTTTTTTTTTTTTGCAGTAAGGGTATCTCAGCTTCTGCATTGCCTTACAAAAGGACCCCTCCGAGTTGGCTGAAGACCTCTCCTCAGGATGTAAGAAAGCTTTGATCTTAGTTTCTTAATCCATTGTTTTTTTTTCTTCCGAATTGATTCCTTTCGATTGGATACCATGATGTAATCCATAGCTCTTTGTTGTTAATTATATTTATGATATTGTTGTCGTGTGAAGAAGTAGAGTTATGCTTTTGGGTTTTATGAATTTTATTTTGCAAAGCAGTGGAACGATAAGCTCGTTGTTTCTGAGGTATTTTGGTTCCTAAGCCCATTCATGCTTGAACATTAAGCTTTTACTGTATCGTTTCTGATCAAAGCGGACATATTTGTGTCTTCCGATTTAGAAAACTGACTTCTGGGAGATCTTTTGCTCTGCGCGCATGATTCTTTTAGGTCCAAATTTTTTGCTAGTCTTAATGCTTAATTTGGGTCCTTTTTTTTACTTTGTCATGTGTGTTGTCTGAAATTTGATTTGACGCAGTTGGTTTATTCCAAATTAGTTTATCAATAGATTTGTTTCTGGATTCACAGGTTGATGATTCAATTTGCAAGTTTGCAAAAAAGGGTTTGACTCCATCACAAATCGGTGTTATTCTCCGTGACTCCCATGGGATTCCTCAGGTCAAGAGTGTTACCGGAAGCAAGATTTTGAGAATACTGAAAGCCCATGGTGTGTTTTCAAGTCATATTCATCCTCTAGTACTTGGTATCAGAATAACAACTCGTTCATTTGTCCTTAATGGCACTATGTTGTATTGCATTCTGCAGGACTTGCTCCTGAGATCCCAGAGGATCTTTACCACCTTATTAAGAAGGCTGTTGCTATCCGTAAACACCTTGAGAGGAACAGGAAGGACAAGGATTCCAAGTTTAGGCTGATTTTGGTTGAGAGCAGGATTCACCGTCTTGCTCGCTATTACAAGAAAACAAAGAAGCTTCCTCCTGTCTGGAAGTAGTGAGTATCCACCTCTTGTACTAGAAAACCACTCATTCCATATAACTGCTGCATGTTCCTTTAGAATATTGGGATGGTAATCCAGAATTTTATTTCTAGAAATCTCTTGCTCGTAGATGCAGTGAGCCCTTCTACTGAAAACCTGCTAGACGACTTTAACAGATTACTACTGCATGAAGGAAGAGATTAGCTGTGTATCCACTGCATTTGTAGTTTGGTCATTCGTGGGTTCTGGTTACTGAACCGGTGTTGCTCTTATGGAGCTATCCTACCCATTATGCAGTAATTTCGTGTGTCGTCTATATTTTGTCGTTATGATAGGACATTGGAAATTTGATGGTTAAATCGTCCCAATGATGCGCTGATGGGTCTTGTTTATATTTGGTTATTTTGCAGTGAATCCACAACCGCCAGCACCCTTGTGGCTTAAAAGCCTTGGAGGGAAGAGATTCGCATCGTGTCTTTTGTGTTTGACTGGAACGGATGGTTTGGTTTATGTTTGCTACCCCCCTTTTTTAATCAGTTTTAATGTTCCTGGCCAGTTGCAGCTAAAAACAACAACAACGCCGCAATCTCAAAACAAATCCACAGTTGAAAGAAAACAATAATCATCATAATCTTAAATTGAAACGGAGAGAACAAATGACGCATTGTTTCGTTCTAATACAATTCAATTGGCGGAGAGCAATTGGAGTAACTAACGTATACGGGACAAAGGGCAAACACAAAGTGTTTAAGGAAACAATCGTACCTACGCAGAAGCTTTCTTTCCGCCATTGTAGTAACCCATGTACCATCTCACAAACTTTTTCAGCCCCGTCTGAAGATCCGTCGTGGGCTTATACCCGAGCTCTCGCTGAGCCATGCTGATATTGGCGTGCGTGAACTGCACATCCCCATTCCTCGGCAGCTTCATTACGTTCCTCTTCGCCTTCACTTTCAAATGCCTCTCCAGTATGCTCACCAGCTCACTCACCGGCACTGGTGATGTGTTCCCCAAATTGAATACCCTCAACTGAGCCGCCCCTCTCTTCTTTCCACCGCTTCCCGTGCTCTTCTCTGCCGTGTCTAAAGCCCCCAAACACCCCTTCACTATGTCGTCAATGTACGTAAAATCCCTCGCTACCGTTCCATGGTTTGCCCCCTCAAATATCGATATCGCTTTCCCTTTCAGAATATCCCTCGTGAAGAAGAAATATGCCATGTCTGGCCTTCCCCAAGGCCCGTACACCGTGAAAAACCTCAATCCCGTCAGAGAGAGACCGTATATGTGGCTGTATGTGTGAGCAATCTCTTCGCCAGCTTTCTTAGTTGCAGCATACAAACTAGCCGGTTGATCCGTTCTGTCCTTTTCCGAGAAGGGCACTTTGGTGTTCAAGCCGTAGACTGAACTAGACGACGCCCACACAATCGCTGGCTGAGGATTAGCGGATTTACACACTTCGAGCAGATTCACGAAACCCGCAATGTTACTGTGAACGTACGAGCTCGGGTTTTCCATTGCGTACCTCACTCCAGCTTGCGCGGCCAAATGCATCACGTGGGTGAACGGAACGACCTCGAAGAGCTTCTTCAAAAGAGCTGAATCGTTGATGTCCCCTTCGACGATGAACACTCCGCTTCGCTCGAGAAGTGCTTGCCGAGCTCTCTTCAGCGATGGATCGTAGTAGTCGTTGAAGTTGTCCAGCCCTAGAACGCCGTCGCCGCGGCGTTTCAGAGCGGCAGAGACGTGGGGGCCGACGGAGACCGCCG